TTTGTGGTGGTGATGGTGGTGGAATCCACGTGATTTGGGGGCAAATATTGGCCCCCATTGGCACACAGTTGCCCACCCTTGTTCTAGGCTGGCTCCTTCTTTGGGATTTGGACCAGTCCTCTTTATGGCTGGCTCTTTGCTTCCCAAGGAATATTAATCTCCTTCCCTGATTGAGCCAAAAGACTCTTCCTTTACCTTCACGGCCCTCTCCTTGCGCAACCACCTTGGGATCGGTGAACTCTGGACGCCTTCCTGTGAGCCAGCTGGGACAAAAGCAAGTAGAACATATTGAGTTGTACATACTAGGTCTTTCAACATTTAATGCTTTAAACTGTCCTGCATTGATTTTACTTTACACCACACTGATATCTTCAGATAAAGGGTGGGAAGTGCCCAGACTGCCTGGCTGTTGTTGGCTGAGACTTTTGGGAACTGATGTCCCAAACAGCCGGAGGACCAGAATTTAGAAACTGCTAGCCTGCAGGATGGAGATGTTCATTCTGTTCCCTCAACAGACAAAGATGAGCATCTGATGGGGGACAAGAAGTTCCCCAAATGAATCCATTTCAGTGCCAACTGGCTTCTGGATATTTACTCAAATCAGTGAAAGGCGTGCCCACATTTCTAGCTTCTTTCCGCACCTTGTAAACTTTTGTAGCTTGGATGTCGATTCCGGAACGAACATAGGGATGATCCTCTTGTGCCTGAAATGGAAGTTAGACTGTAAAATGTGATAGTGAATTTAAAAAGTTAGAAAGGAGGTAAACAAATAGAATAGTTAAAAACATAAATAAATCATTTTCAAAAATCCAGTACAACAAAAGTAACAAATAACACATTGTTTAGGAGGGATGGGCCTTGTATGATCAGTTCCCAGAGGTCTGTTGAAACAGAGAGATCTGAAGGGTCTGGAAACCATGAAGCCCTCTGAGGAGAGACTTAGGGAGCTGGGTATGTTTAGTCTGGAGAAGAGAAGATTAAGAGGGGACATGATAGCCCTGTTTAAATATTTGAAGAGATCTCATATCGAGGCTGGAGCAAGCTTGTTTTCTGTTGCTCCAGAGAACAGGACACAGAGCAGTGGATTCAAACTACAGGAAAAGAGATTCCACGTCAATATTAGGAAGAACTTCCTGACAGTAAAAGCTGTTCAACAGTGGAACACACTCCCTCAGGGTGTGGTGGAGTCACCTTCTTTGGAGGTTTCTAAACACTGGCTGGATGGCCATCTATTGGGAGTACTTTGATTGTGTCTTTCTGCATAGCAGAATAGAGTTGGACTAGATGGAGATGTTCATTGTGGTCTCTTCTAACTCTACAATTCTCTTTTCTGTGCAAGAATAGGAAGTCTGGCCTCTGTGAAGAGAGTTCCAGAGATCCTGGGGGCAGCCACCAAGGATCTCTGGAACTATGAGGGTGGTGGGACAGACAGATCTCAAAGCACTGACTGGTTTGTAAGAAACAATAAGAACAATAACGTACAAAGCCCAATAACATTAAAATGGCACCAAAGTATTAACAATATTAAAACAATTTAAAGCATGAGTTAAAAGCAGAAAAAAAATCTAGTACAAATACATTTACTACAGCCAATGACTGGTCCCTGTGAATGTAACAGTTGAGGTCAATAGCATTCTCTGACACCAGGCAAACAGTAAAGAGTGTGAGGATCCACTTACCTCCCTGGAGTAAAGGGAATGTGGACGGCTCCGTATCCACGGACTACGTCATTCCCAAAGAGATCAGGGCCATATACGCTTACAACTATCTGTGGCCCTGAAAGAAAGATCAGAACAAGATGGACCAAGACTCCTTTATTTCTCACGATACTCAACTAAATTGTCAATAATATTGACCATAGCAGATTCAGTGCTTTCATTTTTCTTTTTTTAAAAAAAATACATTTTTTTTAGAAGAATGGAGGCATCCCCTCCATTGCCACTTTGTTCCTGCGACGGGTTTCTCAAAGCAAAGGAGTGGATGCTTTTGCAGGGCTTTGCTTACAGCCAAAGGGGTTGGTGCTTTTGAAGGTTATTTCGATGGGAAAATTCCACACCAGGTCTTGGTGGCCATCTCTGTTCTTTGAGGTGATCTGTGAGATCCCTTCTTCCAAACCCTAGAAAGAAGAGAGAGAGAGAAGGTGAAGTCAGATTGCTTTGTTCATTCACTTTCTTAGTCCAACATTGTCTCCCTGTTAACTGGTGTGGTGTAGTGGTTTGGCTACAACTCTTGGAGACCAGGATTAATCTTCACTCAGCTGTGGACAGCCATTGGGTGACCTTGGACAAGTCACACTCTCATTCAGCCTCAGAGGCAATGGTGCCAAGCCCATTTTAAACATTTTGTTCCAGGAAAATCCTGGGGTTAAACTCCCCATAAGTTGGGCATGACTTGACAGAGCACACCACCAACAAAAACTCCTCTCTTCCTAACACTAGCCAGTCTTATGTCTCTAGGAAGTCCAGGAAAAGGCATCTTCTTTCCGTCTGGTTGGTTAAATTTTGCATCTGTAACTTTCAGGTAAACCAGCCCTGGGTAGAGAGGCTCTGTGCAGGTGTTACAGAATCAAACACCATGGGTCATCTAGTATAATATCTGATGTGTCAGGAATCAACATTTGCCTACAATTATCCCTTCAGATATTTAAGGTGGCTATCCTATCACCTCTCAATCTTCTACATACCCAGACCTCTCAACTCTTCCTCACAGGGTTTTTGGTTTCCATACCCTCAGTTTGTCCAGATCCCTTTGACCATCTTGATCACTCTCCTCTGGACACATTGGCCAACCATGGGGCTAGAAACAGACCCAGACATTACTGCTATTTTACTACCTATATTCTTAAGCCTTTTCGGAAAAACAACAGGACTAATTCTTGGGGGAAAAAAAAGCCTTTCCTGGGACTAAAGTGGGTTGGGGAGAAGATGGGGAGACTGTTCCTTTCACATCCTGCAGGAGGCAGGGAGGAATTTTTGGGTATTTTTTTAAAAAAAAATTGAGTAATGGGGCACCCCGAGTCCTAAAAATGGCATTGCGGGCCACAGCTTCAGCCTGGTGTAGATAGATTCATCCTCTGTGGCTTTAAAATGTGTGTGAGTGTACAAGTCAACCTAGAGCAGTGATTCCCAAACTTCAGTCCTCCAATGTTTTGGACTCCAGGTCCCAGAATTCCTTACTGTTAGTTAAGTTGTCTGGGGCTTCTGGGAACAAAAGTCCAAAATACCCGGAGGACCAGAGTTTGGGAACCACTGACCTAGAGTTAAGTCAACCATATGGAAGAGAGAACTCCAAGTCACCCTGTCATCAACCTCCCTGCTTAAGTCTTGCAGACAGGGCAGCCATTGTGGCTTCCTTGATGGTGTCTATCCAACCATAATGTGGTCTTCCTAACTTCCTATTGCCTTCCATCTTACCAAACATTTTTTGTCTTTTCTAGTGATTTGCGTCTTTTCCTGATGTGTCCAAAGAACGATAGTCTTACTCCATACGGAAGAAGGAAGCAAACTTGATTCCTGCTGCTCTAGAGACTAGGAGATGAAGCAATGGATTCAAACTACAAAGAGATTAGGAAGAACTTCCTGAAGGTAAGAGCTGTTCAACAGTTGGAGGCTGGTGGAGTCTCCTCTTTTGGAGGTTTTTAAGCAGAGGCTGGATGGCCATCTATTGGGAGTGCTTTATTATATGTTCCTGCATGGCAGAATGGGGTTAGACTGGATGGTCCTTGGGGCCTCTTCCAACTCTAGGATTCTATTATTTTAGTCATTTTGGCTTCTAGGAAGAGTTGATGCTTGATTTTCTCTGTTGTTGTGTGCCTTCAAGTCGTTTCTGACTTAGGCAACCCTATGGTGAACCTATCCTGGGGTTTTCCTGGCTCGATTTGTTCAGAGGTTTGCCATTGAATTCCATGGAAAAAAGTGGCGTAATGACTGATACTAATAACTTAAAAGGGTAGCACCAGTACGTGATCCCATAGTTGTAGTGCCAGTGGTGCACCAGAAGTTAAGAGTGTGTTAGGACAGCTATTTTATAGCTTACCAATTAGACCATTGGTCCAGCGAACCTTGTACAATTGACACTGACTAGTAACACGTATTCAGGGTTTTCTTGTTGTTGTTGTTATATGCTATCAACAACAAAAAAGGTATTGTACCTAATGTAATTTCAAAGAGAATGAAAAAAAGGGGTTAGGTATTTATGAAAGGTAATACAATCTGTGCCAAGAATATAAAAAATGTTTATCTGCTGTTCAAATTGCAACAGATCCAATCATATACCATGAGCATTACAACTTCCATGAAAAAAAAACATAAAATACATACAATAAGGACAAAGTTCCAGTATTCCTTAGGGATAATAATCAGTTGCAAAACAATATGTGGAATGAATACAGTCCAGAGAATTCATCATCTTCTCAGAAGCTCTGGACTATATTCATCCCACATATTGTTTTTTCATGGAAGTTACAATGTTCATGATACATGCTACTAAGTAAACTCTGAGTCTGGGAATGTTGTGCTATTTAAATTTTAAGGTTTGTATTGTAACATTCAATTTTCGCTCATAACTGTAACTTTTAAAATGGTTTGTTTTTTAAATGTTTATATTTATACATTTTAATGTTGTACTGTTTTAAAACTGTATTGTTTTAAGTTTGCTGTTTGCCTCCTTGAGTCCCTATATTGGGAGAAAGGCGGGATATAATAATAATAATAATAATAATAATAATAATAATAATAATAATAATAATAATTATTATAAGTTGTTAATGGATATTTTAATTATATGTCATTTAATACTGTTTTATTGGGAGGGGGGATGTTTTGAGAATTTAATGTATGTATCTTCTTTTATTGTAAGCCGCTTGGATTGATTTCATTAAGCGGGATATAAATAAATTTAATAATAATAATAATAATAATAATAATAATAATAATAATAATAATAAATTTCTTTGAGGCTGAGAACTTGTGACTTTCCCAAAGTTACACAGTGGGTTTCATGGTCAAACTGGGAATCGAACCCTGGTCTCTAGAGTTGTAGTCCCAAAATTCACACCACTAAATCATGCTGGCGTTCTCTTAAAACCCATTGATTTGCCTTTTTTTTTGGCCACAGAAAGACAAAACTTGGCCAAACGCTATCCAGTTTGCAAAAGGGGAAGGCTGACCTGTGTTCAGGTTAAATGAATAAATATATAAGCGAGGAAGTGGCTGGAAAAGCAGAGAAAGCCTTACAGAAGTAGGAGCCCAGTCGTAGCCGTACACGAAGCAGTACTTGCAGTACAGGTCGTCAAACTCCGGGAACTGGAAAGAAATTAATAAAATAAAAATGAAATTCACGCTTAAAATCTGTATGCATATTAGCTCTATATGCTATGTCTTTAATGTTGAGAAGAGAGGTCTAGTGGGGCATAATTCAGTTTACAAAGTTGATAAGTTCTTGGGTTGTTGTCGTCGTTATTTTTGTTGTTGTTATTATTATTTTGTGGCACCAAATTTCCTGTTAAAGAACTAAGGCAACCAGGGCTGCAGCTGCACTGCAGAATTAACGCAGTTTGGCACCACTTCTGACTGCCATGGCTCTGGAATGCTGGGATTTGTAGTTCTGGGATACATTTAGCCTTCTCTGGCTGCATCCGCCCTGCAGGATTAATGCAGTTTGACACCGCTTTTGGCTGACATGGCTCTGGAATTCTGGGATTTGTAGTTCTGGGGGACTTTTGACACTGCTTTTGACTGCCATGGCTTATTTGTATAGAACCCTGGGATTTGTTGTTCGCTGCGGCCCTAGAGCTCTCTAACAGAGAAGGCTAAATGTCTAACAAAACTGCAGATCCCAGAATTCCACAGGGCTGAGCCATGACTGCTGAAGCGGTGCCAAACTGGTTAATTCTGCAGTGCAGATGCAGCCTCTGATGAAATTCCTTCTAGGCAGCCATAGAAACCAGGGTCTTTCTGGTTCTTTCAGTTGCACCTGGTGGATTTCTGCCTGCAAAGATGGAGGAGGTGGTGGGAAAGGAGCAAGAAATACATTGCTTCAGTTGCAGGGACCATGAAAAGTGACCCCCCCCTTAACAGTGGAGGGGAAAATGGAATCGTCCGTCCCCCCTCAAATGGAGTTTTGGTTGCGTCCGCCAGCATTGGCGCAAACCGGGCGGGAGATACCAAGTTGACCCGGGCGGGGGGGTGCGGAGGAAGAACGCCTTTTCCCCCTCTTCTTTCCCCCGGAATCCTTTCCCCCTCCATCGGGGCTCACCTGGGCGCTCTCGATCTGCCCGTTAACCATGAGGAGGAAGACGGTGGGGCTGGCAGAGGCCGCCATGGAGCCTCCCAAGGCCCGTTGCTAAGGGCCGCGGTCCTCGGACCGGCTTAGCAACGGGTAACGACGGTGCGCCGCTCAGGACAGTCTTGTTCCGCGAGCCGTTTGCTTTTTGAACGCGAAGGGGCGGGGCGTGAGGGTGGACTGGGCGGGGGCGGGGGAAGGAGCGTGGAGTTGGAGGCCGCGCGGTCCTAGCGCCAGTTCATTAAGTGGGACAGCCTAGGAAAGCTAATTTTACTCCCAGAATCCCAATTTTTGGGGGGGGGATAAAGTCCACAATATTACTATTTTTATGGTGCTGCTATTATTATTGAATAAGAATAGAATATTGTTCTAATTATTGCTCTAATTATTGCTCTAATATTTGCAAATAATAACAATAATAATAGCACATACTACCTATGTGGGTACCAAAATCCATGGATCCTCAGGTCCCATTATATCCAATGGGATATTATTATTATTATTATTATTATTATTATTATTATTATTATTATTATTATTATGTTCCCTTAGTATCTGCTGGATTTCAGTTCCAGGATCCCTGTGGATACCAAAATCCATGGATCCTCAGGTTCCATTATTTCCAATTGGATGATTATGATTATGATTATGATTATGATTATGATTATTATTATTATTACTATAGTGTGCCCCAGGACCTCTGTGGATACCAAAATCCATGGATGCTTAAATCCCATTAAATACAGTGGTGTACTAAAATGGTGTCCCTTATATAAAATGCCAAAGTCAAGGTTGGTTATTTAGAATTTATACTTTTTTTTTAATATTTTCAAGCTGTGGATGCTTGAATCCGTGGATGGGGAGGGCCAACTGTATCCTACATTTTTTTCTTCAATATCCTCCATTTTGCGGTGCATTGTACTCCTTTGTGGATAGTGCATCCGGTCGCCCTATTATCAGATCTTCTTGCATTAGGTGGAAATGGTAGATTTGTCCCCTTCGGCAGCATCAGATTAACCTATTTTTACAATCCTGTGCTTGTAAAGAATACCTTGAATGGATTTATTTTTTTACCTTGATGGGAAATCCTGAAAAGAAAAATTACCTGCGGGGAACTAAATCCAATGCAGAATCAGCTGCCTCCCTTTCTCTAAAGTTTTGCTTGAAAAACCCGAAAAAGAACTCTTGAGATTTCTTTCTGGCCAAGGTTGAAAACGTTCCTTTTTAAATTTTATAATGCTTATTTTTCTCTGCCCTATTTTTGCTTTTTTCAGTGCCTGGTGCTACCTTGAATATCAGGAATAAATCAAAGCCTTGCTGAGAGGGGAAAGTGAGCTGCGCCAATCCCAATTCTTGGAGCATTAAAAAAGAAGAAGGAAAAGAAAAAGGGAAGGAAAAAAAGGAGGAGAGGAAGCTATTTTGTTTGAGGATGAACTCTTGCCCCAGTTTGGAACAATTGGATCTGAAGACGGTATGTGCCGCTACTTGTCTGTCCTTGTTCTTAATGAATTATTTAATCCTTGGATCCAAAGAAAGAAGCTTGTCAGGTAAAGGGTTGTATTTTTCAGGGATATTCAATTAATCAATTTCAAAGTCCCTTTCCCCGTTGTTGTTGTTTTGTGCCTTCCAAGTCCTTTCCGACTTGTTGAAACCCTAAGGCAAACCTATCCTGTTTTTTTTGGACAAGATTTGTTCAAAGGAGGTTTGCTATGGCCTTCCCCTAAGGCTGAGAGAGTGTGACTTGCCCAAGGTCACCCAGTGGGTTTCATGGCTGAGCTGGGAATGGAACCTACGTCTTCAAAGTCCTATTCCAATACTCAAACCGTCACACCACACTGGCTTTGAGAAGCTATTACTTTGGGGAATACCAATCCCAGAATGAGTCAGCAGTGCAATGCAACGGCTAGAAAAGCCAATACGATCCTAGGCTGTATCAGTAAGAGTGTAGTGTCTAGGTCGAGGGAAGTAGTAGTCCCACTCTATTCTGCTTTGGTCAGGACTCACCTGGAATGATCCTGTGTCCACCATAATTCAAAAAGGATGTTAAGAAGCTAGATTGTGTCCAGAGGAGGGAGACCAAAATGGTTGAAGGTCTGGAAACCCCCAAGCCCTACAAGGAGAGATTTGAACCCTGGTCTCCAGTCACAGTCCAGCACACTGTCTCAAAGGCAAACTGATCACAGGATTTTCTTGGCAAGTTCCTTCTGAGGGTGTTTGCCATTATCACCCTCTGAGGCTGAGAGAGTGTAATGTGCCCAAATCTGGAAGAATTTCTCCTAGCAATTAGCAGTTTGGAGTCATTCTGCAAACAGCGAGGGTACTCAGAGGATACAGATCAGCTTTTTGGGGCTTGAAATTCTCTCCTTTCGCCCCGCTTTTTCTCTTTCTCCTCCTTTGTGAGTCAAGCGGAAAACAAGCCCCTCTGCCTCCCGCCCCTGAAAGCAACACGGCCCCGGCCCTAATTCAATTAGGAGCAGCCTTTAATCTCTCTCGTTGTTACAAGATCATAGAGGCAGTGTGAATACTAATTAAGCATGCCTCAATATTTGCACAAGCTTTTCAGGATAAATAATTAAATTGACTGGAGCCATAAAAAGCTGCCCCCGTGAAAGCTTTGAATGCAAGGGATGCATTTTAATGACACAGAACCTTTTTCTTTTTTCCTTGAAGCCTTCGTGTTGTAGTGGTTTGAGCGTTGGACTAGGACTCTGGAGACCAGGGTTTGAATCCTGGCTTGGCCGTGAAATCCACTGGGTGACCTTGGGCAAGTCACACTCTCCCGGCCTCAGAGGGGGTTAGGGAACGGCACACTGTGTAAGTCACACAACACAAAATCCACCACTGCTCAACAGAGGTATTGTGCAGATAGCAGTGAGAGTAGAGCAGCACGGACAAAATGTTCTTCTGCGCCTTGTCTTTGCAAGTTGCACATTGTGCTTCATTTATGTGTTGTGGTTGTGTATCCTATAGTTTACTCTGTGGTTGTGCATCCTGTTCCTTACATTATGGTAGTGCATCGGAGGTTGTGCATCCTACACTTTGCACTGTGTTTGCACATTGTGAATCCTATATTTTGCCTCATGGTTCCTCATTGTACTCTGTGGTTGTGCATCTTATATTTTGCTTTATGGTACTGCATTGTACATTGTCCAGTGGCACTTATTCATTGTCATGACTTGCTATTTTCCATAGCATTGACCTAGCATATCTATGCTAAGGGGATTTTGGATTGAAGTCTACATCTTTTCTTAGCAGGGAACTCTCAAGTCCTTCATTAAACTACAAATCCCAGGATTCCATAGGATGGAGCCATGATAGTTCCAGTGGTATGAAATGGCTGTCACACTGCAGTGAGGATGCTTCTGCGCAGCTTGTCTCCTCTCTGGACACAACAATGTGAGTGATGTGAGGTGAGCTTTGTATAGTGGATGAACAATACAGTAGTGAACAAAACAAACACTCTTTAAATAATTTACTATTTATTTGTGGGTTTTTTTGTTTTGTTTTGTTTTTCCTGCCAACTTTGGAAATCTTCCTCACCTTCATCCCTCGTTGTGCACTTTGAAAAGTTCAGATTATTGCAGCATTTAACCTGAATTCCATAAGAAAACAGAGAGGGGAGGGTTGTATTTTTTAAAAAGAAAGAAAGAAAGAAAGAAAGAAAGAAAGAAAGAAAGAAAGAAAGAAAGAAAACAACCAACTGTCCAACCAACCTCACTGGGTTATACATAAAAATCCAAAAAGGACAGGTTCAGTACTCATAAGAAGAATGAATCATGTCCTTTGTTAT